TCCTGCTGACAAATTAACGAAGGCAAGGGTGCACACCTAGTCTGTATTTTACCTAACGGCAATTCTCTTTCCGTTTCAATTTCTGGGACACATGGTGTCCAGCAGCAGGGCCTGCTGTGGAGGAAGTATTTGGGTTCATCCCAATTCTAAAATGCTATGGTTTCAAGGAGTGACAACTGACAACCATTTCCCCTCGTTGCACATTCTCCTAAACATAAAAGTAAATCACTCTGTCAAATCAAAAGCAGCTGATTCTAAATTGGGTATCCAAGCTGCATAACATCTGACTTAAAATTTCATTATAAATGTTCAAAATTTTAAGACACATAAAAATGTAGCAGTGATTCAAGGTCGGCAAGTTGTCGTACTCTTGATGAATCCTAAAGGTACAAACCTGGTAGGCAGATACAGGAGATGCAATATAGGGTGTAATAGAAGTTTGAGTGATCATTCGGTTGGTAGCAATACTGTACGGTGAAGGATAAAATCTAGAACAAACACAAAAGCCTTTATTAAGTAATCCTTTAAATAGAATCATTGACGGAACAAACATCTGATATTTTCCACTTTCACATTTTCCCTCTAGCCATTATGTATTTATCTTAATGACATACCCGTTCTGTATAGCAGCCGTGGTTGGGTCATAAGTAAGTGTCATTCCAGCCTATGGGAAAGAAAAAGAAACATTCATCTGCAAAGGCACAAATTAAAAATTCCATTTCTCAGAGTCATGGCAACATAAAACAGTGATAGTTTAGTAGTATTTGATAAAATTGAGAGCTTCCGTTAGACAAATGTAATTATAAACTCAACACGAGAATTAAGCTGTAGATCGGCACTGTCCCACATGGTAGCTGTTAGTCACAGGCAGCTATTTAAAATTAAATGAAAAGTTGAGTCCCTCTACCATACAAGCTACATTCCAAGTGCTCAAATAAATAGCCTTAAGTGGCTAGTGATCATCATTGGACAGTATAGATTCTAGAACATTTCTACTGGACGGCACTTCCCTAGACATTCTTGAACCAGTATGTTACTTAAAAAAACAAAAAGAACAATCCATTTACGATAAATATGGGGAAATGATGGGCCAACATTTTTATTAAGAAATTGAGCTTTTTTTCCCTAAAGACCATTATTATTAGGCAAAAAGTCCTCAATGACAAATATACTGTTTATTTTAATAATATTTCAAGTAATTTCTGAATAATTTAAAACGTAAACCTAAGAAACCGTGACATTAGAGGAACAAAAACACTCATGCATTTCTTACAGCAATTTAAAACGCGCTTTTACTTTTTATGTAGCTAACTGGTAAACACAGCTGCTTCCATCATCTATGTGTCCATCGGGAGAATCACCACTCTTAGCACGGTATCCACCGGGAAGAGTTTTATGTGACATTATCTGGATTATAAAGTTTTAATCCTGGCACCTATTTTAGAAGCGTGGCGGCCAAGTCAAGATGCTGCTTGTGTAACCATTCACGTAGCTTTCGTGATCATACACCCCCACGGAAGTTTCAAGAGAGGACTTACAAGTCTCACCTCTCCTTCTCTATGCCACGGTCGTCCATTAGGGATGTATTTGTTTGGGTTCTGTCTCTTCTTCTGTCCTCCATCCGCAAACTTACACAATAAAGGTTCTGTAGGAGCTGAATAAACAGGGAAAAATAACAGGAAACCAAACTTTTACGTGTGTACGAGTGACAAAACGTAACTGAATTTGTTTTTTAAAAATATACGTGTGTGTGTGTGTGTGTGTGTGTGTGTGTGTGTTTGTTTATTTTTGGCTGCGTTGGGTCTTCGTTGCTGTGTGCAGGCTTTCTCTAGTTGTGGTGAGCGGGGCTACTGTTCGCCGCGGTGCACAGGCTTCTCATTGCGGTGGCTTCTCTCGTTGCAGAGCACGGGCACTAGGGCACGCGGGCTCAGTAGCTGTGGCTCGCGGGCTCTAGACCGCAGGCTCAGTAGTTTTGGCGCATGGGCTTAGTTGCTCCGCATGTGGGATCTTCCCGGACCAGGGCTCGAACCTGTGTCCCCTGTATTGGCAGGCAGATTCTTAACCACCGTGCCACCAGGAAGTCCCTGAATTTCTTTTTTAATAGGAGCAGTGTTGGTGCTCTAAGGGAATGGATAGAATACTTCAAGGCAAAAGTTTACTCAGACCCTTAGGAGATGATCCACTGGTGAAAAATACTGTACAGAAAATATATTAGTTATGGTGTTCAAACCAGAATGTAATGAAACATTTCAAGAGCTATTTCGAGGAAGCAAAGGCATTTTTGGATTCACTTCTGTACTTCTTTAGGTGCAATTACTCTTCACTCTGGGCCCTCTCTAATTCCATTTCAGTAAATCTTCAAATGTGAACGGGATTGTGTCACCCTCCCCTCTGCCACTTAAAAATGCTCCCATAGCTTTCCATTACAATTCCTCAGAGCAGTCTTCACTTCCTCCAGTAGAAAACAAGCCCCCCTTTACACTGCTCACACTGTATTTTTATTCAGAGCATTTATCACACTTTGTGAGTGTGGCTGTTTGTTTGGTGTCCGTTTCCCCTCTAGAGTGGAAGCTCCATGGCAGCAGTGACTTCTGTTCTTCGCTGTTATTCCCAGTGCCCAAGTAAGTGTCTGGCATGTTGCAGGCGCTTTCTACATCTTGGCTGAATCAATGAATGAATACAAATAGGTCTTATTTGTTTATTTGGGGGATACAACATGGAAGACAGCTGTTGTGAGAAAGCTGAAAACACCTGCCCACCCTATCTAAAGGTTTTTCTGGGCCTTTAATCATCCCACTTGGTGTTGCTTTACTATGCATCTGCCTCAAAAAAATGATCTCAAGAAACTAACAAAGAAAAGCAAAAGATGTATAAGATGCACAGACTCTCTTACCAGGGTTACATATTCATTAGTTAAAAAAAGAAAAGAAAAGGCGATGACATAGTAGGCCACCCATGACTTTTCCTTTTTTTAAAAAAATTTTTCTTGAATGAAAATAGCAGTGTATTCCTCAAAGCTGTGCTTGTTTCCGTATGTTTCTAGTTAATGTAATAAAGACAATCACACCTTCCTGTCTGACTCTCACATTCTGTCCTTTGTCTACCGTGGAACCATGATTACTACTTTCAAGTTCTGTTTCAAAGTTCAATAACCATGAAAAGAAAAATATTACTTGTAGAAAATTTATTCCTTTCTCCTTTGCCTCTTATTATCCTAATTCACCTCTTACTTTGTATCACTATTACCCACCCGCTAATGACAGGGTGGGAGCAACAGTGCCTCTCAATACTCCTCTGACGAAACACAAAATGCACCCAAAACCCAACTGCAAATCCTCCTCGGCTGTCGGGGGGCCGTGGTTTGGCACTCCTTTTTCCTTTCCCCCCTGGTGTGACCCGCTCCAGAGGGACGGGCTGGCACGTGAGCTCTCTGAATGGCAGCCGTAGAACTACGGGTGCCAGGAGGTGAGAGCAAAACTGTCATGTGTCTGGTGAGATGCCCCGGGCTTCCCTTCTGACTCCTACACCTCCCCCACCCACCGATTTCCAGAACAAGGAACTTCCATTCTTCCATTTAAGGCAAACCGGGTGTGATGGAAGATGGACAGGGGCCAAATCCTACATTCCTAAACTACATTCTCTGTCTTTTCAAAAAAAGACACTGACTTTTGGAAATTTCCACCTTCACTAACAATCACAGAAGGTAAAGTAAATGGATGCAGTGAAACAAGAGAGCCTTCTAACCCCTGAAGATGCTTTTAATTCCACAAGTGGGCCGTTCAGGGCCAGATGGAAATGAAGGCCGAGAGAAGACAGCATTCAAGTGGAAGGAAGGAGAATGCCTGTCTGCCGTGGCCAGGGATGCCTCATCCTTGACTTCTAAGGACAAACTGAGAACTTGGAAACAAGATCTCACTCTCCACCGACCTAGAAAGGTCCTTATGGCATCAAATTGTTTTCTCCAATGATGTCTGAGGTTTTAGGAATCTGCCTCCCCATAACCTTGTGGAACAAGAGAGAGAGATTAAACTCTGTGGTGCTGACGCTTTGTGGGGCTTCACTTTGGGGAACTGCTTCTATCTAGAGGCATTATAAAGACGAGCTCCTAGACTGAAATTCAAATAAAAAAAAAAGTTTACTTGGCACAGCAAGTGATGCAAATGCACCATTTTCCTCTATTAGCAGAGAAAGAAGGCGACCAGGTCGGACTCATTCTGGAAGTTCACCGGGGCTGCCCAGGCAGGCATGAATGGAAGCAGCTGGGTAGCCAACCCTGGCAAGTGCCAGGGCTGCACATTTGTTGAGAGGCCAAACAGGCCTTCCCTATCTGTGGGAAGGTGCTTCCAACACATTTTCATTCATCTACACTAAGCTCCGTCAAAGAAAAAGCAATTTCAGGCAACAATCAAGCCCACTAAAAATGGTGTAATGAGGAGGTAAACATAAAGTGAGCGATGACATGTTTGCAAATATATCATTTAAAATGAAACAAATGGAACAGAATGTAGTTGAATCTTTCAAAAATGAATTACATTTGCTACATGATTTTGTGCTGTCATTAAGATATTTTCCTTCCTCTAAAACCAAAAAGGTAAGTAGTTACAACAGTTGCCTACTAGCAGGTGTCCCGTATCTTATGAAAATTAATTTCTTATTTTAAAGAATTATAACCAGTAGAAATGACGCAGTTTTTAGACAGTTGTTGGTTCCTTGCTTCTGGGGAACAGAAATACCCTAGTATTCTGTGTGTGTGACGCAATATAAAATTCTAACAGCTTCTTCCCTCTATTACAATTTTCTCTGGTCTGTTTAGCAGTTGAAAGTTTTACTGAGTGCCTACTATGTGCCAGATATAGTGTGAAGAGCCAGGGATACAGTGGTGAATAAAACAGGGTCTTACTTCATAGTTCTTGCAGTCTAATGGGGACGAGAGCATCCCCAATCTTATAAGGCCATTTAGCCATTTATGGGACAGAGCACTGTTTACTGAAATGTTTGTTTTTAATAAGAATGCCAGCAGAAGTGAAACACTTCTAATACAGGAACAGCTATATTTCTTTAACAGCTGCCGCTCCTTGAACTTGGATGACATGAGTCACAGCTTATTCCTAAGCATTCTTGATAACCTATTTATTACAAAGATTGTATCATGTGTGCCAGGAAAGCAACTATGTGAAGATTTCTTTAAGATATTTATGTTACTATTAGATTGAGAAAGAGTCAGAGGACTTCAGTTAGATTTTTGAATCGAAAACCAAACTTACATACCCAGATCTGTGTCATGGCCCACTTACTTTTAAGCGAGCGCAAGACTGTTACAAAATGAGAGTTCCTTATTCGACTGGCATATGCTGCGGCTTACTCGACCAGGGAATAGTCTCTAGTTTGCATTTGGAGCCTAATATCCAGGGTTCCAGGTTAAAGACTGGGAGATGCTATGTGATGTCAGCTTTTTCTACAGAACAGATCCTTCAGGTGGCCTCCTTGGTTGTTCTTTGTAGAAGGGAGGTATTGAGGAGGCCTGACACGCAGAAAAGGACGTGCCCTGAATACTAGTAATATGAGTGTGATCAACAGGTAAGTTTGGGTATATTAACCTTAAAAAAAAAAAATTAGTTTCTAACCGTCAACCTATATCCTCTATATGGTAATTTTCTAGATTAGTAACTCTTTACCTTATTGAGCAAAACAATAATTGCAAAGAGTTCTAACAAAAACATTTATGATATAATGTTTCATAAAATTACCCCTTATTGATTGATTCTGCCAAATATGCAAAGTATTCTATGCTGAATTTCCCTTAATGAATCAGGATCTTTGGGGTTTGTAAAGGGTGTGCCTCAGATGTCTTGTGAAATCTCTCAGGTCAGATTCTCGTCCTTACTAGCCAAGACAGAGAAGTTAATTTTCTTGTTCATCAGAACCAACAAGAACATGTACCTCCAGGAGCTTAACTACTGTGGTAGAGCCTTCAGTAGGCAGTGCCACATGCAAGCACTGATCTGATATTTGGGGGGGGGGGGGCATCTCTTAAGAGCCATCTAAGGTAACTGCATTACTGGATTCTCCAATGTGCCCTCGACAGGGACAATCTTTTACCAATGCCTGATTGCTAAGGGACTGTGAGCCATAGGGGTGACGCCCACGATGCCTCACTGCACATTTCTACCAAGTCGTGTCCCTACCCATCTTCTGAAGCTCAAACTCTACAGTAATTTGCGCTCAACTGTCTTCCCTGGACACCCACGTGAAGCATCACTTCTAGAATGCCTGCTTTGACTAAGCGCTGTAGTTCATGACTAGACCTCCCAGACATCCTCCCCATTTATCTAATCCAACCGCTCAGAGGGCTATGAGTTCTTTGTATTTGTAACAAAGTGGAACTTTTCCTCACCAAGTTCTAACTGCTGGAGAAACTGCTACTCCCCAACTCCCATTTTTCTAGCTATGCAGTATTTTATCCCAATCAACAGTCTCTAACACATAAACTGCCCTTGAGAGAAGCTTTTCTATCAGTTGTAGAAAAGTGGTCCACTCACCAACCGTAATTAGCTTCCTTTCTGAAACTGCTGGCTACTTTCAAGACCCCTCAACTAAGTACATGCAAGAAACTATCCAGGACTCTTTTAAAAATTTCAACCTAAGGATCCAATA